TAAGAAAAATTCTACACATTTGATTAGATATTTGAAGATGTAAATCTAATTTTAAGTTTTAGAATTTAATGCCTTAAATAAATAATACACCAGAAAAAGAATAGTAAAAATTGGTTAGAAGACATAAGAAATCGTTATCAGAACATTAAATTTTTGATTTTTAGAGGGAATAAAAAGAGTAATAAATAATTACTTAAATTTAATCTCTTCCACAAGATAAAGCATGTAAATATATTTATTTATTTTAGTGTTTTTTTCATAAACAAAATAACAATCTTTCCTTTAAGATGATTATTAATTTCCATCATTAGATTAAATAAATTCATTTAAACCATTTCCAATTTAAGAAGAGAAGAAAAAAACTGAATAACCCTCATATCAATAATTGTCTTTTAATTAGTAGAGATATGAAGATGGAATTCCAAATATTGATGATTTAGAATTCTTTCCTCCTTTAGATTTAGTATCAACTGCTAGTTGTCCTTCACTAAGTAACAAATTACAAATGACAGATTAAAAGAAATAACCAACTAATCCAATTTATACTGGAAGACTAAAATTTTTTGATGAGTAAAAAAATTATGGGTTTATTGTTATGGATGAAGATAAATCAGATATATTTGTTCATTTAGATGATTTATAAAAAGCTGGAGTTACTAAAGAGATATTGAAAACTTCAAAATAAGGCTCATTGTTAAGGTATATTTTAATAATAGAAAGTAGGTTTTAATTTAATTGTATGGTTTATGTAGGGAAATACAAAAAGTCAAGAAAAGCTGTTGAATTGAAATTACTAGCGAACTAATCAGTTAATAACTTCAAGGGAATTGCCTGATTGAATAATCAAATATATAGGCATATCAAAAAAATTAATATTTTTTTAATTTAAAAAAAAATCACTATTATTAAAGGTATTAGAGTGTTAAAATAAGATTTCCTAATTATATATATAAATATTCTATTGAAAACACATTAAAACATACATACGTGTATTAATCATTTAGATTATTATAAATTTATAGATTAATCTTAAGAAGAATAAAGAAATTAAATGTAAACAAATTAGTATAAATTGTTACTAAATATACATAATTTATCTTATTATAATACTATATTATCTCATTTAGCATTCTTCTTGGCTTCTTATTATTTTTTGAGCTAATTAGCATCAACAAAGACTATAGTCTTGCATCTCTTAATAACTTTCAACCACTTTAATTTACACTTGACGCATTCAAGCCTATTCTCCAAAAATATATATACTTTAAAGCCACTTTTTTTGTTGTCTTTGCTTTCTTTCTGAAAATTGGCTTTGTTTATCCACCATACCCAGCTTGTTTCATGTCGTACCTTCTTCTACCTTAAGCAAATGGGCTTTCCTTGCTCTTTTTGTATTAAGACACTTTGCAACTTTAATGGCTTCCACATTTTCTGCAATATGTTTTTCTGTTTTTAGGTACGTTCACCATTTAATATTTTTTAAATAAAATTTAATCATTTTTTAAATTACTTTAAGAATATTTAGTGAATGATAAGCCAATATCCTATAATGAGATGACACATATAGTAATATTTCTATAATTACTGTGAATATATATTGTAAGTTCATCAATTGATATCCTTCAATAAATCGTTTATTTCTTCAGCCGAATAATCTGGATGATATGGTTTAATAAATGGCTATGAATTCGATCTCTATAAAGGATGGGGTTATTCCTTATTTTTCAAATCGTCAGCTGATTTATTCCTAAAAAGTTTAAACATTATAAAAACACTCGTTCTTCATAAATTATCGATCCTATAATAGTTGATACTAAAGGCTAAGGGGATTGCTCTTTTCCAATAATAGAATCTGTTAATATTACTACATTAGGTTCCTAATATTTTTAAGGCATTCTCTTAGGGTTTTGCTTTCTATTTTTTATGTTTCTATCTTCAGATTTTACCATAAAGTAGAAAGCAAAACAAATAAAGCAAACTAAAAATATTCCAATCTATTATTATTTGGATAAAAATATTTCGAAGTAATTATAGAAAGCAGTGAGTTACTCTATTAAAGTACTTTTAGCTGCAGCCCAATTTGTAATTTCTGATTTTAGATGATTTCTCTATCCATCTTACTGAACATCAGTTTAATAGAGTGCTAAATCTACATCACTTAATTTAATTTCTTAAGCATTAATTGGTTAATTGTATTTTGTTCTAAGTTATATTTGCTTTTTTGGAATAGCAATTACTGTTGAACATAGGAGTAAAATGTAAACAACTAATCTCATATAAAACGGAATATTAATAAAATTATTATATAAATTATTAATACCAATAGAGGATTAGATAGTCAAAATATTGTATTAAGGTAATCTTTTTTTTAATTCTTTATCATAATAATATATTAATGATATAGATACTCTTAGTACATAATTAATGATAATGAAAAATTTAATTTAGGATGATAGATTATTATTGTACATATATATTTTTGAAGATAATAAAATTAATAATTGAATGTTAATAATTGCATTATTTTTCATCTCGATTGAATTAACTTTAGGAAAACTAAAGGTTATAGGTCCAGAAGAATTAAAATAAGAATTGGATCAAAAAAATGGAGAAATAAAATTTAGCATAGCTAATTTTGGGTAAATGTTGAATATACAGCTCAATATAGAAATATACCTTGGGGTCGTAGATTAAGTGGGACTCTTGATATTTCAGATCCTATAGAAGCATGCACATAAATTAATTAAACTGTGAAGAGTCATTTTGTACTAATAAAAAGAGGAAGTTGCTCTTTCGTAACAAAAGTTAGACATGCATAAAATGCAGGATATTAATTAGCAATTATTGAAGACAATAAGGAAGAAATAATTGATAATATAACCATGTCTGATGATGGGACAGGATATGGAGTATTTATATCAATATTATAAGTTATAAATCCCTAGCATTTTTATATCTAAATCAGATGGAGAGATGTTAACAAAATATTTGAAGATGCCAAAAGCAGACTTGGAAACAGAATAAATTCAATTACTCATCAAATTTGATGTACGCTAATAAGAAAATATAGATGTTTTATTTGCCTTCTCTATTTCATCAGGAGAAACATATAAATTTTTAAGAGAATATCAACCTTATTATGAAAAATTGAAACATGATAATGGTATTTTCTTTTGGATATATTGCTTTTATTAGTTAACTATACTGTATTGTATCCATTATATCAAATTATACCAATTCCAGATAGACCAATTGATTATTAAAATTGTATATCTTATGGTAAATACTGCTCACCAGATCCTGATAGATCAGGTATAGGAACAGGTAGAATGATAGTTGAAGAGACACTTAGATAATTATGTATATTCAATCTAACTAAAACAAAATGGTTCGATTATATGGTATTTATTATTTAAAATTTAGTAATCTTTCAGAGATAATTGTACATCAGCATAATAATATGAAACCTGTTCTCCTAAAGTTTAATAAGAAGTTGGAATCGACAATCAACTTGTTGAAAAATGCATAAGAGATTAATAAGAAACTCACACTTTTTAGATAAATAATGAAACAATTAATTATAAATCAAATCAATTTTTGGAGACATAATTATCATTATGGAATACTGCTGGTGTATAGTAATTACCAGGGATCATAATTAATCATTAAGATTATTTAGGAAAAATAACTGGAGCAAATGTTTTTTTTGATATTTGTTATAGTTTTGAAACTCCACCTGAATCTTGTGGCAATTATGTTGATGGGTATATTTTTTAGCCAGATTAATCTATAAATCTTTATCTGACTATAGCTATCATTATCACAGTTATGGTCATATTTTTTGTGCTGCTATTTTGTGTTTATACAAAATTAATAAGGAGAGAATTTAAGGAGAGTAGTTAGGCATAAGTCAATGAAATGGTTTCACAATATATTTAATTTTATGAATCCAAAGATAAGAAGAGCAAAGAAGCTATTTGAAATATTATATTATTTGTTAAAAAATAACTTCATCATTTTTAAATTTTCTTAGACTTTGATAATTCAGTCTTTTTTTAACTCTTCTTTTTTGTTTGGGTAGTTTTTTGCTTTTTTTCTGTTTTATTTGATTTAGCATTATTATTCTTTGTAGCTGATTATTATTCCCCTTATTTATCTTTATTATCTGAATTCTCAATGGCCTTTTTTATAATATTCCTGTGTTTAGGATTTGTTTTACCCTGTTATCCATTTAAACCAAGAATCATTTACTTTTTATAGATATAATTAACAAATTGTATATAGAAAATTTATAATTATATAGATTTTTTAATTAAAGGAGAATATATATTTTAACAGAATTTTTATATATTAGTAAAATTCATTCATTCATTCATTTAATAATATGAATAATATTCAAACTATTATACTAAATTTGATTAAAACCATAATTCAAAGATAATCAATATGTATTTACATATTTTTGATAATCATAAGAGAAAAATTAGGAAACAAATTATTAAAAAAGCAAATTTAATAATTAATGTTTAAAAATGGAAATTTTAAAAATAAATCATTTTTTGGATTAATTTAAAATGTAAAAGATTAGTAAAATATATTATAGTTTTTATAATAGTTATCAAAGAATAAGATTATTATTTTGCGAAGCATAACTAAAAGAACATGTGTTTTTAAATTTCACTTTTAAGTCAAATACATTGTTATATCATGTTTATGTAAATATTTAAGAATTAGACAATTTCAGAGAATTAAGACATAGAAAAATATTATGAGAAAAATACATAATCTCCATTAATATATTAATATACTTAACTTGTAATTCTTTGGAAAATTAAAAGTTTTTTTCCTATAAATAATTTAGATAAATCTAATTTAGTTTTCTCTATTAAATAATGTTATTTAATATGAATTAAATCAGGTAAATATATTAATAGAATTCATAAAATAATAAATAGTTTAAATCAAATTTATAAATCATATATGAATGAAGATTAATGAAGTCATTTTTCACTATTTGAATTTGAAAACTTTGCTTAAGGGATTAAATTCATTTGACTCAATTTATTATCTCTACTTGAAATAGTGCTAAGTATAAGTAAATATATACGTTAATCTTTGAGTTGTTTATTATGAAGTCAATGCGTTATATAAAAACACATTGACAGATTATTTTTTCTATGATTAATGTTTTTTGTAAGCCATTTTTAATTTCTAAAAATTTTATTTAGCTCTTTATCTGCTCTCAACATTAGTTCTTAGTAATCTTAAACATTATTAACTCATTCTTAGTTTTGTTGGCAAATGTACTAAAATAGTAGATTTAATTAAATCAAATGTTTTTTCCATTTCGTTTATGTAGGCATTAAAAATGTATAATATGAGCTTAATAAAGAAAAAAATATTAATAGTTATTAATGTAAAAAAGTATAAAACTGAAATGTTAAAAAATTATTATTATTATCCCATATTTAGACCAATTCCAATTATAATGGATATTTCACAAATTATTGTTGATTAATAATCTAAATGATTTAATCTAGCAGATTTAAATGGCTAATATTTTAGATTCAAAGACCAATAACTAAATAAAATAAAGTAAATTAAAGATCCTTTTAAAATGATTGAATCTTCATAATAGATTAAGGCTAATATTAGTAATTATTTAGTAATGATTTTAATGATCTCCCAAAAATATGCATTTGGCTTATACTCATAGTATAAATAACCAAGAAGACTTTTGCCTCTTTTATAAATAAGTTTGTTTCTAATTTTAAACAAACTTAAAAGTAAGCCCAAGGGTATTAAAATACCAAATAAAGTCAAAAAGGGTATACAAAAAGTCAGAACCCATTTTATATGTGTAGATGTATCAAATTTAAATGCCACATTAGCTTGAATCCAAGGAACATTAGAAATTCTTCTTGTTGAAATCAAAGCTATTAGTGATCCAATAATGCTTGGCTGAAAATATATGTACATATAAATAATTGCAGTCATTACAATTGGTCCTCTATAATTGAGATGCTTGGTATAAATTAACATCGAATAAATGATTGATAGAATACTAAAATAAATACAAGGGATTATTAATTGCCAAATCAATCTTAAATAATGAATATCTAAGGAAGACATCTCAACTAATAAAATAAAAATATTTAATACTTAAATAGCAATCCAAAGAATAAGATATTCGTTGTATTGGATTACCAACTCCATTTAAAAAGTAAAAGACATCCGCTGGTAACCTTAACTTAAAAGAAGTCAATGAACTAATAATTTGTAAATAATTTGTAAGAATCTTGATTAAATAAGGAGATTCAAATTAGTAATTTTAAACAGAGTTAGCTCCTTTAACACTAAGAATTATTGTAATTAGAGACCTAATAATATATTTAATAGATTACCAAATGCTGAATCCTATAATTTAAACTAAATTATAATTTATATCATCACATGACCCACATGAATATTATTAAGATGTAGAAAAGTATCCATCTCCTCTAATATTTTAAATATCACACTATTCACAAAGAGCCCCTATATGACCTTTAAAACAAGAATTATCACCATAGTTCCATCCTCCTAAACAATTTTCCACTAAATTTGAGCATTCTTCTATAATATTATTATCAAAGTAAGGTCTCCAAAAACCCTAATATAATTTTATAAAAAATAATTACAGAACGTAAATTTAATCCATAAGATGTTACATTTATTGTAGATTATTCATCTCTGATATAACATTTATTCAAGTTCAGTTAATTTGAATATTAATCTAAACTTGGATCACATTCATGACATGAAAGATCTATGAGAGATTTTATCTAACCCACACGACATTTGAAAGTGTTGATATTAACTAGTAATTTATAATTATTATGAAATGATTAAATTATTAATTTTTCTTCATCATATTAAGGTATTTAAATACTAGAACAAGTAATGACTAATTATAACTACGTTTTATTAGTATTTTCGCTATCAAAATAAATGATTAAATCATCTAAATTATAATCATTTGTAATTCGATCAAAAGAAATTGTTCTTTTATTAACTAATTTTTAGTTTGAAGATTCTAGTAATTTATTTAATTCTATATCAAAAATAAAAGTCTCAAGATCACATTTTGAATCAGTTAAATTATTTAATTTTTAATAATGATCATCCAAAGCTACTATTCTAAATGTTAAATTTTAGGATTCTAACTCTTCCTTATCTTCATTAAATTTTTTGTATTCTTTTATAGGTGTTCCACTTGGTAAATAAATAACATTTTATTCATACAATAATGAATTACTAACAGATTCTATCAAAGTATCTCTAGAATTTTGTAAAATAACTGTATTATAAATGTATTTATAATTATTTAAAGTAATAGATAAATGGGTTGGAGCTTAAACCACATTTTAACCATAATATGATGCCTAATTATCAAAAACAAAAGAATTATATTTTTTCATTTCCTACCTAACACTGTTATCAAAATAAATAGCCCCAGCTATACTAGCATTGTTATTAATAATCTGACAATCAACTAGAAATAAGAATGATTATTTTCCACTAAAATAAATTGCCCCTCCAGCTATTTTAGCTTGATTTTTAATAAATATAGAATTAAAAATTATTACATTAGTTTAATTGGATAAAAAGCAAGTTCCAAAATCTGCAACATTTTCCTAACATTAATAATTCTAAATTATTATATCATGATTAATTAATTACAATATATTTTCTGTATTTAATGCAAGCAATCTATTTTATGTTGATTTTGTAAATGCTATATCAAAAATATCAAAATTAATATAAAAACATCCTGCTTAACCACAAAAATTATTCATCATTATTAAATCTTTAATGAATATAGAATATGAATCTAGGCCTTATTTATTAATTTAAAGATAAATGAGACCACTTAATGAGTTTGAATAATTATTATTCGAAAGATTTATGTCAAATATTTAAATTAAATCGTTACTTTTAATTTAGTCTATAGTAATAGCCGATTATTAAAAGTCAGTATTTGATAAATGCAATTTTTAGTTCAAACATTCATTTTATTCAATGTTATCCTCTTTTTCATCCATTATTAAATTTTGAATGTTTGAACTGCCTTTTGAACTGCATTACATATTATTGATTTTTTGAGAGATAATAATTTATTAAATTTCACATCTTCCATTTTATTTTTGAACCTGTTTCATATTATTGAATGAAATCATTTTTATTATAATTACAGTAGACAAATCTAATTGGATAAAATAATAAATAAATACCTTCCCTAGGTTGAATTAGAATAATATTTTATTATGGTGCAGTTCCACTTAAAATTGTTATTTTATTCAAAGTTACATCTCCTTAATCAATAGCCTCCAAAATAGATTCTCTATAGATGTTATCAATTAAAATGTCTTTTAAGATGAGAATTGTATTTTCAACATAAACTAATACATTATTATTAATATCCAACAATTTTTTATTATTATTTATTAATTATTTCAAATAATTAAATAAAGCAACTTTTTGATTTTTAACTATTATCTTTTTAAGTTCTATAACATTTTATAATGAATTTTTTTAGAAAGCCGCATAGATAGCTGAGCCTTTCTTAGACATACATTCTGATAAAGTTAAATTATTAATTGTCAAATTTAGTTGATCTTAATTAGAGGAGATAAATAAAAAACTGCCAAAGTCTTTGGCTAAGATATTTTATCCTACAATATCTTAGATGTCTATTCTACATCCACTTATGGGAATCTTAATAAAAATGCATCCTCCATTTTCTTCATTATATTTAAAGAATGTAGTTAAATTCTTGAATATCATATTATATAATTTCACTATTTATGCACTAATGTACAATCCAACTCCATTTAGACCTTATGAATTCTACACTAGACTATTTTAAACAACTACAAGATCTGCTTCAAGATATGAATTTCCATATGTATTTTTAAAGTTAAATATGGATTTTAAATTATTCTCATATATAATTTAATTTAATGGAAATTGCCAATCAATATTTTTTAAAAGAACTTCAATATTCTAATAAGAATTATTAATAAATTAAATTTAGTTTAACATAATTTATTCAGCAATAATATTAATAACACTATCAGTAGTATTAGTTGCAAAATTATTATAAATTTAACTTTGATTTATATTAATTATTCCTGAAGGACAATTAATAAGTAAAGCAACAGCTGAAGCTTTTAAAAGATTTTGTTAATAGTTGTGTAATTAATTAAACTTAATTTCTACTAATGAAAAATCTACAAAAATCTTTTAATTAGACATGACTGATATTAAAGAAGCACTTGCATCTTTTTAAGAAGTGATTAATATATTATCTTAGATTACAAAATTTCTGATTGTTAAAGTATCTTAATTTGAAGTTGAAGTTTTTGATTATGTAGTAAATGAAATTAAACCTGAATTTATAAAATTTAATCGAGTAATCAAAAAATTATCTAATTTAGTATTCTTTACATCAAAAAGTTAAATTAAATTAGGATATTTATTATTTGCTTTCATTATGCTAGAACAATCGTAATACTAATGCAATAAAAGAATTTAAGATTACTTAGCTATTAGATCTGTAATAATAAGTGATTATAAATTAGAAAATATGAATTCTTAAATACCAAAACCTCTAACAATGTAGCATGATTATAATATAGCTTATTATAATTAAATATAAATTAAATAAGATTGTAATTTGCTTTAAATTGCTTATTCATCATCAATAATAATCTATTCTAGAATTATATTTTTAATTTTAATTTCTGATGTTATAGAATCGAAAGCTTAGAAATATAATATTTAAGTATTAAAACTGGATATAAGATTTTTTACTTTTAAACTATCAATTGAATATATAAATGCAATTTATTTAGCTATTTAATTTTCAACATTATTACGAATAAATGATACTGATCCATATGAATGACAACCTTATATAAATAATTAATTAATTGACCCTGATCTTTCTAATTATAGAAATGTTGAATCAATAATTACTAAATCTATTAAATCAACTTTTTCAATATTTGTCTATTGAGCATAATTTAATTTAAAAAATGGTTCTGAGTTTTCTAATTTTCCTGATATTGTAAAATTGGATATTGTAATTTAGTTTAATATTTAATCATTTTAGGTATTAAATAATGAACTATTCTTAAATACTGAATTAATGTTAATATGATCAAAAATAATCGATTAAATATTAGTAGATTTTATCTCTAAGATATTTGTATTATCAAAAATACTTTATTGAATTAAAAAATCTTTTATTTCTATTGAGGATATTTTGGAAGCTGAATCATAAAAAAAGGAAAAAAAGCTTTTTAAATTTTTGTTGTTAATATTCATATTTTTAATGATGACCTTATTGAAAACTATTTAATTCAATTAGGTAAATAAAAAATAAAAAAATGTTGGTGTTGTTAAAGAAGTTGTAGATATTAATACATTTTACAATTACAATTGAATTGATTTAAATCCATATGCATTAATATTCTTATTATAAATATTTGATTAAATTATAAATTCTACATTTTCGAAAAGCAATACTGTAAAATCTATAAAGTGTAATTCTTCAAAAATTATTATTTACAATTCTTTTTGAATATTAGATTTAAATTCCAATTAAACATCACTATTCATAATAAAATAAATATTTTACATTGCAGAAAAAACATTCTAAGAGAAAGCTTAAGTTATATAACTCAATTAAGGAATTGAACAAACTTATTCACTGTTAGATTAAAGAATTAATTTAACTCTCTTGATAGATTTTTTACTCATTATATCATAAATGGAATCAATATCAAACTAAGTAGATAATATATAATATTACTATTTAAAAGCTATTGCCCTAAATACTAGATTATATTAATTGTGAAAACATTATATTTTATTTCTTAAATTTGTTTTTTAATTCAGTATCTTAAATTAATTACAATTAATCAAAGTAATCTTCATCTTAACAAAATAAATTCAATTCAAAAGTTAATACATTTTCACATTTCTCAGAATTCTAACATGATATAAATTGTCCTATTGTACTATCATAAAATAAAGTTTCATCATTTTCATAAGGTTTTAAACACTAATAAGTGTAAATAGAATTGCTTAGAGTTTTAATAAACAAAGAATTCAAATTTAGAATTTCTTCATCTGTCCTTTCTCTACAAAGTTCACAATAAGTAGGACAAACAGAGCATTAATATTATACTAAGCTTAATAGATTATGATATATATTCTAACCACAAGTTTAACATACATATTTATCATTCAAATAAATACAACTTTTACAACTGTCATCACAATATTAAATGCATTTATTATCTTTTAATACAAATCCACTATAACATGACGTACATATTATTTTATAATCATCTAAATTTTAACTTTAATCATTGTTCCAATACTATTAATACATAATTTTATTAATTTACAAAATATGAATTATTATCTTAAAATTTTAGATATTGACTCAATATTATTATATTGTTCTTCCATTCATCATTATATCCTATAGTTGAATGATAGCATGTTTTGCAATGTAGATTATCTGGACATAATAAACATTAACCACTTAATCGAGATGCATAATACCCTTAAATGCATTTCAAACAATATGAATTTGTCTTTCCTTTTTTAGTATAACACCAATAACAATTTGATATTTCATTATTACAAAGTTCACCCTAAACGCTGATAGAGGACGAAATGTCTGAAATTAAACAAATTCCTTGAAGTCCATAATCAATCCCATTATAAATAAAGCTTTTAGTAAATCCAATATTACAATTTACTTAGCTTATAACTTAACAAACCTGATTATCAAACTGATAAAAGAAATTCTATTAACATAAGGCACAAACTGGTTACTCATCTAATAAATCATTAGAAGGTTAGAAATTATAACTAAGAGCATTGTATTATATCTTAGTCTTGGAGATTATAAAAGCATATTAACAATTGGGAATATCAATTATTATGCAATCTACTCCATTGAATCGAATCGTCATAATTTTATTATCAATACATTTTAAACACCTTATAAAATATTCTTATGTCTAAATATTGAAATCTTCTTTACAAAATTCACAATAAATTCCACATGGTTTACATTATCCTAATTGATTTACAGTATGTTTTCTATATTAACTATATATAAATACTCTTGGCATGTCAGACATTTATATCCAAAATCACTAGTAGGGTCATTTTAACATGTTGTGCATTCCTTTGGACATGACAAACACATTTTTTTCTAATAATTAAAATAATGATTTTCAATGCAAGTTAAACAAACATCTTTAGATTAACATACTATGCATGATTCAATACAATTTAAACATTAAAAGTTATCGTAATATCTATTAGTTTTACATTTTATTCTTATTTAGACACCTAAATGGAATTCACTACTAAATTAGCATCCAAGCTAAGTTGATTCACAAAATTCACTAGCTCCTTCTACTAATTAAAGTTTCATTTCATTATTGATGTAATATACATCTATTTGAATATTTGATCTTTAGCTTTTTATATAAGCGTATGTATTCTATTCTTATAAATAATCAAAGGTACAGATAGGCTTCAAGTACCAAGTAATTGGTTTATAAAAACAGTCTCCACATAAGATATGTTTTTCTTATTTTTAAGGACTAAAATAATAAATAATATAAAATACCATTAAAGACAAAAATATTAATTGTTAAATTAAACCTAAAAATATCCGAATTAGCAGTATTAATCTGTATATTCTCCCTTTGTTATACTAAGACTTTAGGATCTTTCTATGGGTTCACACATTCCACTTTTATAATTATATTCGTGTAGATATAAACATTCGCAGGAATAAAATTAAGTTAAAAATTAATTGAATTCAATATAGCATGATATACAATGATATTGAGTGGGACCATTACAATCTTTACAGCTTGAATCACAATCTATTATGATTTAATATAATAATTACCATATCCTTAATTATTATCCTCAGTTTACCCAGTCATAAAAAAAAACATATCTAATTTACTCCTGCTTTTTGGACTTACTCCATAATCTGAAAACTATAGACTAATTACTATTATGGATCCTGAAAATTAAGAGTTATAATTTTATGTTCCCAAATTATAAACTAATGGCTCTTCATTTACAAAATATAATCGAAATTGCAAAGTAGCTCCATTAACTGGGTTTCTTCCTTTATCAATTACAAAATAGTGCCATTATTAAGTTTTCTCATAAAAATCATCTCTTTAAATTTTTAAGGAGTCAAATTTTCTTAATCCTTCATCTTAATATAATGGAACCTATAAAGGAACCTTATAAAATTCAGTTTAAAAATAAATTGTTGTTTCATTGTTGTTTTCTAAGTCAATCTATATTTTCATAAAAAAATACTGAATAATAAAAGTTTATCATTTGATCTCCCATTTTTCTATTAAATACTATATATTGTTATGAAATTGAAAAAATTGCTTGATCGAATTGATTGTATGATACGTCGTATTTTTACAAATAATAATTATAAGCCTATAAAATTAATTAATCTGTACTTCCATATAATTTTACTTGATCCAGCCTTTAATGGTGTATCTATGGTTTTTTGTTAAGTATAAATATTATATCACTTCATTGTCATTATTATTTACATTCGGATCTATTTATCTAAATAAATCCTCTGATAATTAAAGAGTTTTTTAATTCTAATATGGGCAATTTAATAATAAATTATCAAAGAAATTTCTATCATAAAAAAAGGGAACATATTCTTAAATAGGAGAAAAATATCCTTTAAAATATAATAAAGGATTCCAACTTAAAACAAAATTTTATGAAAGATCAGTATCATAGCCTCCTAAAATTATTGTAATTTTTTGAGACATTAATTTATAATCAAAGGCAAATAACTAATTATTGTAATTTGTGTAAAATCTGAGTTTTTGATCAACTGATGAATAAAGGATTGAAGTATAGAACCATATACACTCATAATTACTTGCTTCAAAATTAACTGATGCTTACTGAATCTCATCTGAATTTTATTTAAACAAATAAATATCATGTGTTAAGCTAACTGGGTTATCATTCATATTTAAGATTATTGCAGCAAAGTTAAATTCATCATCATCAAGTAATTTTAGAAAATAGAACCCATTAAATTAGCAAACTTCAGTTTGACAATTAGGATCATCAAAAGGTCTATAAAAAAATGATTCTTCTTTAGGAATCAAGTTAGCAATGTATTTTGACCAGAATCCAAAACCTCTTGTATCACCATTTGAAGAATCAGCTTAAATTTCTATCAATTTTGATTATGGCCTTTAAATGTCTAATTCTAAGGCTGAATCATCACTTTCGTAATAGCAGATTAGATCATTTTGTTATTAGCTGAACCCAAAATTGGGTATAGAAAGTAAAATAAATAAAAACATATATTAATTTTCTTTTTAAAGATTTTGCTAACAACTATTTGTATTTGGAATTATACAATATTAATTAATCCTTATTTATTAATTTTATTTTTCCTGAAGAAATTAAATTTATCTATGAAATAATTATCATAAATTATTCATAAATATAGCAATATATCAATCATCATTTATAAAAATTCAATTTCTTATTTGTATTTTGGTGTTATCTATAACTAAAAAATATAAAAAAAAGAATATTAATTATTATATTTTTTATTTTTTAATAATTCTTTGATTTTTCTTTTAATATCAAACTTTAAAAAAAATACCATTAAATTTAATGAAATTATAAATATAACATTATGAAATGTTAATGTTATGTATGTACTATAGGATGAATCAAACTGAATATATATAATATTAGATAATGATATATTAATCATTTAAGAATATGAAATTCTTGTAATTTTCTAATACTTAAAATATTGTTCAAAGTTTTAACTTAAATTATTCTTCAAAAATTTAACAAAACATATGAAATATTTTTATTAATAATAAAAAATAGAATTACTTTATTTATGCTTAGAAAATAATTTATTTTTTAATATTAATGATGAAAGTAATTAGTAGGATGTCTTCATTAATTCTTAAGAAATCAGATGATATGATTCTTTTTGCTAATGATCATCCAGTTAAATTAGGTGAAACTTTAAAGTTTGGAAATTCATTAGGAGTAGTCATGTCAATTTTTGAAAGAAATCAATTAGCATTATTATTATAACAATCTGAGGTGTTAGAGCCTATCTAATATGTTAATTCATTAAAAGCTTATCCTGAAAATGAAATATGTACTATTGCAGACATAAAGGAATCAAATGAAAATATTTCTGATAATAAAATATTACCAAAAAGAGTGCTTCCATAGAATTAAATTTTAACACATAATGTGTATATCGATCTCTTTCATCCAATAACGTATGGTCAAATGCTTATCATTAAAGATAAAGAGCTTTTAAATAAGTTGTAGGCTTTCGATTAGATCATCTATTATGGGAGGTCTCCAATCAAATAAGCTACTTGGTTTAAATAAGCAGATAATTAAGGTTCAAATTACTTTTTACCAAAATTTGCATTACAATATGCCAAATAAAAAGCAAAAACTAATAAAACATTATTAATAATGGATTAAATTTATGGTCATTATGTTGCACATTAAAAATTATAAGAGACAATTCAATCATATGTTTATGAAAGAACTACAAAAACAGTGTACTTGTCAAATCTTTTAAAAGAGCTTTCGGAATCATGTGGTTATAGACCAGGACATAGCAATCTTACTGTTGCTGTATTACATAAAGATTCCAAAGATGATTTATTAAATGATGAATTGGAAAAAGAAGTAATATTTAAATGTAATTTATACTTTAGTTAGAATCCTTGTAATCTCATACTCCAACACCAACTGTATCTAAACCAAGTCCATTCAGTTTGTAAATCCAAAGTCCTTTGTATTATCATTTAGCTTAAGAATTATACGATATTCTTTCATAATATAATGAAAAAAAATCAGAATATTTATAGAAACAATAGTTAAAGATCCATATAGATCCTTGGGACTTTTATTAATATTTTGATTGCAAACCAATAGTGTAAATGATCAACATATTCAACCAGTAGAATGGCCAAGAACATGAATTAGCAATCTTAGTAGATTTCTCTGTTAAAGCATTCAAAGAAGAATTGATTTGTCAACTAAAAGGTATTTATAAAGTATATATTTTAGGTTCGCCTAAAGAAATTTTGAATGATCTTCTCGGATTCTCTTGTTAAATAAAAGAATTTGATGGAAAGACATTTGCTGAATTTTATTATGAAAAGAAAAATGAATTAAATGGAAATGAATTTAAGAATGTGATAATTGAAAATCTAGGAAGATTTTATGAATTATTTATGCTTCATTTAAGAATGACAGATTAATTGTTATAATACAAAAAAGATTACATTTGATTGAGTATTAGCATGTATTTTTATTAAGACATAAAATAATTAAATTTCTTTTGAAATAGAAATTACTTAAATTATATAAAGCTACATCTATAAAATAATATTAATAAATAATAATTCTGATTTGATCTTTTTTATACTAATAATGTACAACCATATGATAAGTTAATTTATATTTTATTTATATAAAAATTACCTATAAATGTTGGATAATCGTACTTCTTATTTTAATGTTTAAGGAAATAAAACTAGCTTTAAGTAGAATATTAAACTATTTTAATCACTTAAATCAAAATTATAATAAGCAAAATCAAAATCTAAAGAACCAATTAAAGGATAACTGAAAATATTAAAAAGATTAGAAGATACTATTAATGAACCTTAGATGCATTAAAGAGCACTAACAACTTAAAAAAGATTAGCTGCATAAATTGAGGAATAAGACTAAAGAAATGAAGAGATAAATCCAATGAGATATAATTTAATGCAATTACTTGTTTTAATGGGAAAAAAGGAATATTATTTTGATAAATTAGCAAAAGATGATTTCAAATTAATAAGAGTATTTAATCATTAAAAAGAAAATGTGGATGATCATATTTAAAAAATTAAAAAATTTTTAAGTAATAAAGTTCGTTATAAGTATAGAAGTAGTTTTAAAATGCAATGTATAAAATTAAATAATTAATCAAAGTCTAAATTTAATTAGAATTATTGAAGTATGTCCCAAAGAAAAAATCAATGGCTATTAAAAATAGTTAAAAGGATTATGAAATAGATGAAGATGAAGATAATTCTAAAAAGAAAAAAATAAGTGCAAGAGGTTATTAAGATTTTTCTAATTGGAAAAAAAAAAATAATGTTGCATAAAATCAAAAAGTGTTTATAATAACAAATGGGTATCATGCTTTAAGAGATTCTTTATTAGATAGAAATTGGGCAGAAAATGAGGATGCATATAGTCCATTCTTTGATCTTAAATGGACTTGTGGATTAAGAAGTGATGATTTTTTAAATTTGATGGACTTTTAATAGATTAATCATTTTGATTCTAATTTATGTCTTTGTTCTAAATTTGGTTTGGCAAGAAATATAAGATGTATATCTAATTGGGAATCATTTTTTCCTAGATGTTATGATTTAGGAGATTTAGTAGATTTTTCAGACTTTATAGAAGATTTTAAAATCTCAAAAATTCATAGTATATTAATGGAATTTGATTAAAATTATATTTGTAATTAGAATAAAAAAGTAATTACAGAACCTTATGAAGATAGTGAACATAAAAATGTATTACGATTAAAAGATTTTAAAAATAATACAATAAGAATGATTGAAGATAATAAAAATTAATCTTTTATAATGAATTATAGAGATAGATTTAAAATACGTTTATGCATAATGATTTTGAATAAAGTAGTTTGTTCATTAGGTAGTATGATCAAAAATATACTTAAAGACGAATTTCCATTTGTTAATCCTGGTGAATGGTTGCAATTAATAAAGGATCCTGAAAAACCTAAAGATGTATTAATTTAAGATTAGATTGAAATGATATTGAAAGTTAATGGATATGAAGATTAAGAAGGAGATAAATTTATATAAAAATATGGATCTTAAATAAAGAATTTATTAAAATAATTAAATAAAAATCCTTAAAATTCATTATAAGGTACAAGAAATATTTGGATTGTTAAACCTGAATATTCATCTAGAGGAAGAGGTATAAAATGTTTAGATGACTTAAATTAAATTTTGGATAGTGTAAATAAAGAAACTATGAATTATGTAGCAATGAAGTATATAGAGAATCCTTTAATAATTAAGAATAGAAAGTTTGATATTCGTTAATGGGTTTTAGTTACTGAATTGGTACCACTTAAAATATATTTCTATAATGAATGTTATATAAGATTTTCAGCTGAAGAATTTGACATAAATTAATTTCATAATAAATTTGCTCATCTTACTAATAATGCTATTGCAAAATATTCTTAAAAGTTTTATGAATCAGATATTAAAGGTAATATGTGGACATAAGAGGAATTTTAATAATACTTACTTGAAGAATTTGGATGGGATATTTTTGGAGAGAAAATCTAACCTAAATTTAAAGAAATTGTTATAAACAGTTTAAAATGTTGTTGTGATTAGATGAAAAATAGAAAAAGATCATTTGAAGTTTATGGCTATGATTTTATGATTGATGAATAATTTAATACTTGGTTAATTGAAGTTAATATGTCACCATCTAGTGATACAACAACACCAGTTACTGCTTAAATAATACCTAAAATGTTAGAAGATATAATGAAAGTAGTTATAGATAATTAGAATAAGACAAAAAAGAAGGTTGGAGGATTTCAATTGATATATAATAGTGATACTAAATTATAATGATAATTTTGAATAATTAGATATTTAATTCAATCTCAATTCTTTACATGAGTGAAGTGATGAAATTTTTTAACAAATTCATCAGTTTTATGAAATGGTCTAACTTCATTTATTGGCTTAGATTAGTAAATAATTCCTTAACCTTACTTTTCAGAATAAAATGTAATAGGTTTAGCTGTTAGATATGATTCTTATGGTAATATTGATGCTAATTATTAATCAGATGATAATTAAGGTCTAATATAGATTAAGTTTATAATGATACTTTTAATAAAATCCCATGTCACTTAATAAATCAACATCTTTTTTATCTGCATCTATTGCAGTTCCATTTTATGTTCTCATTACTCTTCTTCCAATAGTATTATTTTCTATTGGTTTCTAATAAAGTAAATATTTAGAATTACTTAAATAAATTCTGATTTACATGTTGTTTCAAAATATCTCTATTATGTTTAACTGAAACTGTCTGCTTCTCTAGAATCTAATTCTGTCTGAATTTATTATAAATATTATTATTCAATTAATTAAGCTTTCTTTCCAACTTTAGGTATTAAATCAGCTCTATTAACAGTGCCACCAACGCTAATTTTATATAATTGAATTACTTTTGTGAAGCTGGTTTTGGAATGTCTGGTTATATTTTACCAAATAACCTAGTTGTTGTATCTAATTAATTTATTGATTCTTTATAAAGAGGAATTTCTTCAGGAGGTTTAAGCATTAAATCTGCATGTTTCTTTTTAATATGTTAAGGAATAGGTGCTCTTCCAAAACCAGTGTCCTCTTTTAATTGAGCTTCTTCATGCCAATTAGACATCAAAGTTCCAGAAATAAATGTATTTCCTGCTTTAGATCCACTACCTGCAGCTTAAGTTTTATTGTAGCAATCCAATTTCGTTTAATTCATATTCATTATTTTGTAATAATTATTAATTAAATATTTTTTATTATTTGATTTAATGTTAATTTTAAATATTTTCAGATTATAATCAATAATTTAGAAAATTATTTCTTTTTCTTTTCAAAAAAAGTTTTCATGTTATCAATGTTCATTATGTATAATAAAGAATATTATCTAATATATAAAATATTTTCAATCTTATAACAAAGTATTAAAAAATAAAATGTTTAATCTTCTTTTAAAACAAACAAAACCCTTATTTTTTTTGGTTTATTTAAGACCATGAATTAACTGTGTCTTACCAAGTCAATTATATTTTAATGTAAATTAATATTAATTAATTTATCAGATGGCCTAAAAAGAATATTTATATTTTTATGTTTTTTGAATTGTTCCACAACAATATTCTTTAAGATAAACTCTTTAAAATACTTTTAGAGTTATGCTTTACTCTTTTTATTATCAAAATTAATTTTATCTTTGAAACATACTGGTTTCATTTAGCAAGAGAAAAACATGCTTAGATATAAATGATATCAAAAATATTACCAAAGCAAATGTATATAATCAAAACCAAAAAAGAGTTCATATAGAAAATATTGTTAATTTGTTGAAAAATATATTGAAGTCGTATAGATTAGAAGACCATAATTTTATTGGAATTTATATATGGTTTGAATTCTATAATAGATATCATTTAGGTTTTTCAAAACAAGTAAAAAAAAGTATCACTCATCCGGGTTAAGAGCGTCAAAAAGTATTCCATTTATAATAACTAAATATTATGTTTCTTTTTCTACATTTATTATAATATTATACTATTTGGATCATATTATTATGCAACTTCTTCCTTTATTTATAGTGAAGATTCTTTTAGAACTTTCTTGGATTAATGACAACCCATATTTTTATATTATTTAAAAATATTTCTAAAAATGTTTGTTTCTTAAACAAATATTTACAATTATTGGATTCTTTAACCAAAATGAATATTTTACCATTACTTTCAAAAAAATTAATCAAAGTAAGTATATTTTAAGCATTATATATTTTTTTAAAATACTATCAGATATGGTTTAATTTGGATATTTATTATTATAATCAATAAATTAATGGTTTATTAGATAGTTACTAGATCTTGAATTATAAGAAACCATCTCGGCTTCAATAATAAAAAAACATATTTTTTATGATTCAAGAATGGAGACAATAAAAAATTTTACAAATTTAGCGACATTATTCTCCTTATCTAAATTTTAAATTTATTCAGATGCTTTTATTAATATAGGGGTATAATAAGAAATACAATACTGAAAACAAAGGTTTAAAATTTATAAATTAGTATAAAAGTTGATTAGCAAGATTAAAGATAAAAATTATTAAAAATATCATATGACGTTAATAATTATGGAAATTAACTAACAATATATCACTCATCTATTTCTTTTTAAACTAATTTATAGAGTTAAAATAGAATTTTATTATTGCCTTTTATTATTTATTAGTTTTATGAATAACTAAGATTATTATAGACATTCTAAATCCCCTCAAAATTAGAACTTTTTATTTAGATTCCAGCTCTTTAAGTTTTTTCTAAAAGATCTTTTCTAACTTGCAAATTTAGAGAAACCAATCCATCTTAAGTATCATTTATTTTTTTAATTTAATGCTTAATTGATTTTATTTTTTTGAGAAATTCAATTTTACGATTTAAATTTAGGGTCTAATTCATAACATATAACTGCTTTTATTTTTTGAGATTATCATAATCTTGTTTAAATGTTTTTTAAACTTATTCGTTACTTATGTAATAAATATCATTATTTACATCAAAAACAACTTCATTAATTAAAATATGTTTTGATATTAAACATGTTTAACCACCTTTACTATTATTACTTTAATTAATCATATCCCTTTGAGAGCATATTTTACAATAATATAATATATCTAAACTGCTCTCTTTATGAACTCTAGTTGGATTTTTCATTTAACTTAGAAATTTAAAATTAATAAGAATATTCTAACACATTTTCTTAGCTTCAGCTAAATCTGACTTAGAATCAAGCTCACAATCATAATGACATATTTTTTAACAATCTGTGCAAAATAATATTTTTTTCCCTTTTGTTGATTTTAATTATTTTTTTTCATATTTATTTTCAAATGTAATATAATTTGTAGATAATATAAGGTTCTTGTTTGGTTATTTTGATTTATGAATTTAAGGTAAAATACCTAATGAATGTATTTCTTATTCAATTTTCAATAATCTTTTAAAATGATTTATTTAATTTAATTTTTCTAAATTTTAAGAATTAAAAATAGTATTTATTTTTAATTAAATCTTTAATAGTTCTTTTCTCATAATTTCATAATAAAATTACAAAATTTATCTTGGTGTCACTTCAATTTCATTTTCTTATAGAATCAAATTTTCAGATTCAATATATGATTAAGTTAAATCTATACCAACTTCAACAGATTAACAATTTTATTTGAAATCTTAATAATTAATATTGTTATGATTAATTAATATTTATTCTGACTCATGGTCTAAATCTATAGCTGGAAAATATAGGTAATTATTATTAATACCAAACCAAAACTTTAAATCTTCATTTGGTATTAATTTTTATTCAATTTAATTTTGATATTCATTAATTTTATTTTTCAATATTGTAGGAGTGGGTGAATTATGATGTGAATAAACACTAAGAAGAGGATTATTATCTGTACAAAATGTTAGAATTAAGAATATCCTTTGAGAAAAAGATTTATGGAATAATTCAAAAAATCTTTATATTGTATAGATTTCTTCTTATCCCAATCTATTGATTGAAGCTGAATTAACAAAAAATGCAGCTACAATTTCCTTATCTTAAACGTATTCTAACAATACTTAAAAAAAATTGTTTTTATTATCATCAAATATATCTTTTTCTAAATCTCCCATTCCTATAAAATCTACAAAAATCAAATTTTCTTATTTTGACATTTCAACTAAATATTCATTATAAAATAAGCTATCTCTATTTTTAATTTACTTCTTCACTCTATATAAACTATCAACATCAACATCATAGTAAATATTAATTAAATTAAATAGAAATGAAGTTTTCCCAGTTTTTTAAGGACCTAATATTAATATATATTTATATTTCTGATTCGCTATTGGTTATATGAATGGTATTTTATATAAAACTAGCTATCTTATATCTTTATCATAACATAATTCTTCAATTTCTTTATTGCTTGGTTTTGGGAAATCACATTTACATTATCCTCCTAATTCTCTTATCAAAATATATGCTTCTCTCAAAGTAAAACCTTTGTCTAACAAATCTCTAGGAGAGTAACGCAAGAATATTTCTATAGATGAAATGCCTCCAGAAAATAATTTAACAATCAAACTAAGTAATTATATTTCTCTCTTTTAATCAAATCTCCTTCTATCAATATTTGCAGATACTATATTAATCAACTATGATATCTAATTTTACATTTAACTTGGCAATTAAGCCAAAATTACACTAGATTCTTGATTCATACTAAGCCTAAAATTAAACAATAAAAATTATAATAAAAAATATGAATTTGATTTAGTAATAACTTAGTAATACATTCTTTAAGGCAAAATTAATACTATTACTATAAAATGGAGATTAAATAATGAAAACTCAATTTTTAATTTAAACCTCATTTTATCTAATCAATTTTTGTTTGTTTATTTTATCATTAAACTAAAATAGTTTTTATATTTTATGCAAAATCCTTATATAACAAGCACTTTATATTTTCCAAAATAATCATACTTAAGTAAATACAAAGGATTTTATGAATTCAAAAAATAAAAATATCATAGTCCAGAGGAAAGGAAAATTAAGGAAAGAAGAATATAAAATAATTAAACATCTGATTTTGAAGAAACAATTTTAATAACTAATTCAGCAAAATAACTAATACCATAACGAAGGATTACTTTTGAAAATTAAATTAATAGTGATGAGGAGTCTCATTTCTATAAAAATGAAAGTTCACCTTCTCAAAGATACTTAACAAATTCTTAGATGTTAAAATAATAAAAATAAATATTACCTTCTCTTCCTTACTAAACTAATATTAATTAAATAAAACTTTAAGCAAGATAATTATTTGTTAAACCATTTATTAAAAAATAAAAAAGTCTTGATCATGTAGTTTAAATTTGTTATTCTAATAAATATTTTGCTCAATTAAAAGAAGGAACTAGTTTAAAATGTTTATTTAAGACTGCAGCCTTAAAAGAAGAGAATTATGATAAAATTTTAATTATTTAATTTGAAAGTAATAAATTATCTATAAATTTAGATCTTATATTAAAAAGATCATATTCATTTTGGGAGAACTAAACTGAAATAACTAATTGTGGTATCAATTTAGGAACAAACAATTAAGAATAATGTGAGAATTCATATTGCATTTGTAATTTGAGAAGAGAATTTAAAAATACACTAAAAATGTACATCAATTATTTTAACAAAGATTGTCAAAGGCTTTTATAATAATTTTCTTGGTTTAAAATGCTAATTTTATGTTAAAATGGCATAAATATCTTTAGGATTAAAATTATTAATATGATGCAATATACAAAGCTAGAATAACAAAAGATGTACGTATAGGTGGCATTTAATTGAATAGAGTTTTTAATGATTTCTAGAAATTTAATTTATCTAAAATAATTTACTTTGATTCAATTGATATATCGAATTCATTCAAATTACATCCAGAAGACTTATAGTATAAAATACCAATAGCTAATTACAACATTGAGACATCAATATTTTTATTTAGGAAAAATCTACAATAAAAGTAGTTTGATTCAAACCTGTTATATAACATATCTATGGCAATTTTTTAAGGCAAGGAACATGTAATTAGCAAAAAATAAGTTTATTTTGAAAATATCGATTTACACTTTGTTTTTGAGTATTATTCTTCCTAAAATTAAATTAAGAAAACGAATTAATTAAGAAAACTTGATGAATTAAAATAATAATATTAGAGAATTTTACAAACATTAAATGAGTCTCAAACAACACAATCTGAAAAGGATGAATATTTAATTCAGTGGATATAAGCAACAAGGAATGATTTTATCAATGATTTTAAGATGAAAAAGAATGAGAGAGTTCCTCAATTTTATTTTACAATAGGAGATGTTATTGTAAGGAATTAAAAACTAAAATGGTAACATTTTAGCTATAAAAGTGAAAAAATATAAAGTAGATATGAACATCTTTGTAAATAGATAACTAAATTAAATTAAGATCATGAAAATTTTGAAAAACACTAACATTCAATTAAAATTAATTGTATACTTTGTATTGAATGATATTTCTATATACTTTACCTATAATAATTGTATAAATATTTAATTTTATTTGATTTATTTTAATAAAAATAATTCAATATAATTTCTTCTAAAATCTTTAAAAATATACATTTGGAAAGAGCAAATAGGGCATTAATTTAGAAATGATGTCATCTCTATTTCTTAGATTTGCTAAATGTATCATTTTTTCACCATTATGTTCTGGATAGTAATCTGTATATGATTTCTTTTATTCAAAGTTTTTGAGCTATTTTTTCTCAAATTTTTTGAAATTTTTGTATTTCATGATCAAAAATGAAATTGCCTCTTTATCTTTTGGAGGTAGATTCTTATAATTCTTTAATTAATAGAATCTTTATTTTAATTAATCTTCAATTGCATCATTAATAATATTATCTTATTCAGGATCATAATTAATAATCTATTAATTATTTTATCTAACATAATCGATTGGATTTTAAGGTCTTCCTATTATACTTATTGAATGCTTTAAGCCTTGAACTTAATTGAAATTAAATGGATCATTAAAA